CCACATCGGTGGTTAATGAGATGGGTGGACTCCTTATAAGGCTTGGGCAATCCTCCTCCCTTTGAGCTAGCTTTTGGGGTGTGAGTTATGCTCAAGACCTAATTTAACATGGTATCAGAGCAGGGCCCGTCTCACCCGATGTTGGGCCCCCAAAATAAAAATTGCCCACGCACCAGATGCTAAGCACTGGGCGTGAGGTGGGGTGTTAAAGAATGACAAAAGTCCCACATCGGTGGTTAATGAGATGGGTGGACTCCTTATAAGGCTTGGGCAATCCTCCTCCCTTTGAGCTAGCTTTTGGGGTGTGAGTTAGGCCTAAGACCTAATTTAACAGTATCATTGGTGGATTTCTTGACATATGCAAAAAGTGCCACAACTCTATCTGGTGTGATGATCAGCATAAATGTGAGTTTATTCATGCCGGTTCTGTTGACATTGTTAATTCCAACAACATTATGTATCAGCAACCGTAAAGTCCATATTACACCTAAATGCTAATATCCATTTTGCAGTAGCTTTATTTGACGTGACTTATATTTTGACAGTTCGAAAAAAGGTATTAATATTCCATGAAAGCAAAGAAAATTCAATAGATTTTCAGAATATGGATGTAACAATTTTTAACTTCAGTTGTTGATATGATGTGTTTCCCCTTTAATAGAATAAATCCTCTTGCTCTTGTGGTTTGTGTTTTGCACTCAATTGGCACTAAGGGCTGGAAAAAATAATTCCCTGAGATGGAAAATTCCAAAATGAAAATGACACAGTATTTCTATTTTAATATATATAAGCATAAAGTTGTCCCTCGAAGATTCAATACTTTATTTTCATATGATGACTCGTATGGGAGTCGACGTGGATACAACTTTCAGAACATAGCAAGAAGAGGGAAGGAATGCAATTTTACTCAAGTTTTCACTATAATATTTTATTAAAGTACTTATCTTGCAATTACAAGAAGTAGTTCAGTTGCTTGCTTAACAAGTACACATATTTGCTCTCTCACTAGTTTTGTTCTTCGAGAGGCCTATTATTTGTTATTTCTTTTCAGTTTACCTATTAAATGGAAGAAACATAATTCCATACCTATTAATTTTTTATCTGTCGATGTTCTGGAACTTGTGCAGAATGCAGCTTACCTGGCAAATCAGGGACTTGGTGTAATTGCTGTTGTTGTTGAAGCCTTGAGGAATACTGGTTATAATAATCAGACAGCAAAAAAAGTTATGATCCAATCTAAAGACAGTTCAGTTCTGAAAGAATTTGAGAAAAGCCGCTATGAACTTGTTTATATGATTGATGATAATATCAGGGATATTGAGAGCTCAACTATATCTGAGATCAAAAGCTTTGCTAGTTCTGTAATTTTAACCAAGAATTCTGTTTTTCGGAGTGAGGATGATTTTCTCGTTGGGAAAACAGATGTGGTGCAGAAGCTGCACTCATCAAATCTATCAGTATACGTTCAACGCTTTAACAATGAGTTTGTGTCTCAAGCATGGGATTTTTTTCCAGATTCATCTGTAGAGATAAACAATTATATTGTTGTAGCTGGCATTGATGGTGTTATAACAGATTTCCCTCGCACAGCTGCTACATACAGAAGTAAGTAATTTCTATCATCATCTGAATTGAGAAACTGATACGGACAAGTAGAGATTATATTTGGAAATAACATTGATTTTGGCACTTTTACTGAGCTTATCTCGTGATTCAATATTTATGTGTTGGGTTATAGGGAACCGTTGTTTGGGTTACAAACACCGACCGCTGTATTTTAGCCCTGTTGAAACTGGAGGTTTCCTACAATTCATGGCTCGACAGTTATTGCCACCAGCTGAAACTCCCAACCCAATACTTTCCAAAAGTGATGTGGTTGAGCCACCTCTACCTCCTGTTGCAAAGATAACACCTGCGGGCAATGAGTCTACAACTGATGCATCTCCAATCGGTCAATCCTCAGTTGTGGCTGGCATTTTGACATGCTGTCTCACGATTCTCCTTGCTGATCTTGTCATCTTTTGATCTCAGTTAGAGGCGTCATAGAGATGAAGCTATGTAGAATCAGAAACTGAATTATTGTATTTACTATCTGAAGACCAAGCTCCTTAAACAATCTCACTATCCAACTGATCTCTGGTGTACATGATGCCATGCTCTAATTCAGTTTCAGTTGAACTTCTAGAGACGATCTCTTATTTTTATATTTCCAGGATACTAGTGCATCTCCAAACTTTACTACGTAGCTTGTGATTGATCTTCTGGTTTGTAGACATGTTCCCTAGTGTGAATCACTTTATGCAATTCATCTCTAGTTTGTTTCAGCAAATCCTGATTGCTTCCTGTGATCAGTGCATCATCAACATACACCAGATCATGTTTTCTCTACCGATGAATCTGAGAAAAAATCCCATGCTTGAGACACAAACTCATTGTTAAAGCGTTGAACGTATACTGATAGATTTGATGATTGCAGCTTCTGCACCACATCTGCAATCTTGATTCCATTCTTTGTCATTTGAACAGGACAGTCGAGGACATCTGCACCATCCGAAACAGCTTTTGTATATACCATATCAGTACAACCTGGGGCCGAGTAGTCTCCACTTGCTCCTTCAGATGTGATAATCAGAAGCTTTTCTGTAGGTCAACAGGAAATTCAGAAAGAGTGACCTTGATGGATCTTGTAGCTAATTAAAGACAGGTTCTTTAGACCTGATGCACCATGTATTTACACATTACCGTTACAACCCTTGTTAGTGGGAAGGTAGAACTAGCATAAAATTACCGATTATGTTTGACTGTGGTCCACCGTTATCAAGGCAAGGAGAGACAACGATTACATGATTCATTCTTGGAAACATAAGATTTGATATGACAGACATAAAACAAATCTAGTGAGTCCAAGGTCTATCCTTTGATATCACTATCACTGATCAATTTATCTTAAATAAAACTACTTGTTTTTCCTTTCATGTCTGTTTTTATACTCAAATTAAGGATTGGAGAAGCTTATCGATCACCTCAAAACCAATTATTGGACTTTATAGTAATGGCCACCCACGGCTGAAAAAGAACTAGGGGGAATTGATTGGATAGGACATGGCATAGGTTCAACATACTGGGGTCAGTATATTGAGGTCGAGGATTAGGATAGAAGGCTAGTAAGTAGCCGAGCGTCGTAAACCAACACAATTTCAGTCTCCAGAAACTTTGGAGTTACCTTGTAACTACTCAGGCCTTGTAAACAGAATATATATAATTGTTGAAATGCATTGAAGATACCTTCAACAAGTCATCACTATCAAAGTCAAGTAATTTACCAGAATGAACGACTAAATTACTTGTGAAAACAACAGTTAGAGCGAGCACGGAGCTTCTGTTATTCATCAATTATAGCATGCATGGTTACCTATTGTCGCTGATGCAGTTACTGGAAAGTCATATAATACTCCATCAACAGAAAAGACGTCATTGTCAATTAAGGACAAATACTCAGATGTGGGATCATAGCTGTAATTCTAAGCAAAATGTACATCATTTGCAAACTCCGATGCAAAAATCTCAAGACATTCTTTATGAGCATCTAAGACAAGAGACGTATATGGTTGTAAGTAGTGGGAGTTGTCCACCGGCCAGATACAAGATTTGGGAACAAGTATTCCAGAGGCAAACGTTTTGATAAATGTGACGTTGTTCAATAAAGAACCATATGTTTGATTTATTGAAGACTCAACATCATCCTGTCCGAGAAACAGGAAAACAAGTTTTGTAAATCGTGGATTGAATCGTGCCACAATATTTGTGAGGAAAGTCACCTCAGGTGATGAAATATAGTTGATGAGAACATTCCTAGATATGAATATAATATAATTTCTCATACTAAGATTATGCTGGGTGAAGAAGTTGACGTGCTGCAAAAAGGATTTACGAAACAAAGGATCAATAAAAGCATGACAACATAACTATGTAATTGGAAAGTTATCATCATAACTGAATATAAGTACCTGTATGTTCAACCATAATCCCAGATGTTTAACTTGGTTTGCTACATCCTAGACAGTAAGAATATTCTGTTTCATCAAATTTTTCGATTCGAAAATAAACTCCTTGCCTCACTGTCCGGAAATACTTCAGTTATGTTATCAAACATCATATATTACTGGTTGTCTTTGATTAAAACATAAAAATCATGTGAAGAATAAAATATTTTATTATATACTAGCAGCATAACTATGTCAATTCACACTTGTGTTAAACTTACAAACAAGGACACTCAAATAGTTACAAAAATACAGTAAAAGAATTAATAAGGAATATATTGATCAAATAACACATCTTTTAAGAATTGTGTCAAACTTTATCATAACAATTAAAAAGGAACAGAGGGAGGGTGATAAACCATCGAAGGGATATTTTGACAAAGCAAAATTGTCATTCTTGGACATTGATTCTAAAATCTTGCACCTACAATCATGCATGCAAAACATGATATTCGTGAAGAACACTACCAAATAGGTTTTATATTGAACTTAGAGGTGACATGCATGAGATCATTAAAATCGAAATCTATAGAGAACCATCCTTGTGTTAAAACTATATTCATTAAGTATTTACTCTTGTTATTTTTGTAGTAAGCATCGATGTCAGAGGTATTGTCAAGCTTGAGGTCAGGAAAACACATATCAACTTCATTTTTAGTGAGTTGCACATCACACCAAATAATGACATTGGGCAAGCTAGTTTCCAATATTGCCATAATATATGCCTCGTAGCTTGAATCAAGAAATAATCCAGAAAATCCTCCAGCGCTATCACTAAGGGTGCATCTCCTACAATCAATAAATTAAAAACACTATAATGACTACGAAACATTGTAAAGATTGTGTTCAGTTATGTACTTATCATCTCCAGACTTCACCCGTGGGACTACATTGATATGTATGTTGTTAATGATTAAAAAGTGAGTAAATGAAAGGAATTGTGTTGCCACTTAGTGTTAGTCATTTAGTTTTAGATTTTTAACCAGCAACGTCTATTACAAAGAGCAATACTAAGCATGAGAGACATCGGAAATTCCACATTGCCGGCGAGAATAGTGTCACAATTTCCTCAGGAATATGAACTATATATTTCAATTCAACAAGATGAGGAAGAAGACGAAGGAAGAAGAAGCTGGATTTTAAGGATAGAAAGACTTCAAAAGCTATTTTTTTTCAAGTTGTTACGAAGATAGATTTAAAGATTCCACTTGTTTTATCATATTTTTAGAGTAATGCAAGTTGTTATACGCAGCCCCACAAGTTTCACATGAATTTATAATGCACTTGTGACTAGTAACTATACTAAGTACTCCATATGTTGGATGAGTTATCTATTTTGATTTTGCATAAAGTTAAAAAAAGTAAAATTGACTTTTGAATCTTATAGTATAAAATTAAAGATTTGCAAATGTATCAAAATTATATTTAACCTTGTGGTGTTAAACATGTTATGTTGAAGTTGAATTTAAAAATTAATAAAAAGGAAAATGATCCTTCTATTTAAAACGAATTATACATGAACAAACATGCCACATTACTCTATTTATGGTATCAGAGCAAAATTAAAGCAATTTTAACCATGCCTTGTTACCACAAAAAGAGTGATGTGACATGTTTGTTCATTAAATATTTACGAAAAATATATTTGACACGATGTATTTTTGGCACAAATGGCACGACCTTACTTTTTGGTGGTAAAATCGTAATTACTTTTTGGAGGAAAGATCGTAATCACTATCACAGTCAAGTAATTTATCAAAATGAACAACTAAATTACTTATGAAAACAGCTGTAAGAGCGAACATGGAGCTTCTTTATTCATCAATTGTAGCATGCACGGTTACCTATTATCGCTGATGCAGTTACTGGAAGGTCAGATAGTACTCCATCCACAGAAAAGACTCCATTGTCAATGAAGGATAAATACTCAGTTTGTGGGATCATAGCTATAATTGTAAGCAAAACGTACATCATTTGCAAACTCCGATGCAAAAATCTCAAGACCTTCTTTATGAGCATCTAAGACAAGCGACGTATATGGTTGTAAGTAGTGGGAGTTGTCCACGGGAAAGATATATGATTTGAGAACAAGAATTCCATAGGGAAACGTTTTGATAAATGTGAGGTTGCTCAATAAAGAACCATATGTTTGATTTGTTGAAGGCTCAACATCATCCTGTCCAAGAAATAAAAAAACAAGTTTGGTAACCCGTGGATTGAATTGTGCCACAATACTTGTGAGGAAAGTCACCTCTGGTGATGGAATATAGTTAATGAGAACATTCTTGGATAGTGATTTGGGAACAAGAATTTTAGAGACAAACGTTTTGATAAATGTGAGATTGCTCAATAAAGAACCATATGTTTGATTCGAAGTATAACTTATTTCAACTAAAGGTGCCATAAATGGTTAGAAGTGAAATCCACTACTGATAATTGTGGAAGTGGATTTTTGTATGGTCTGACAGGATGAAGGCTCAACATCATCCTATTCGAGAAATTGGTAAATCGTGGATTGAATCGTGCCACAATACTTGTGAGGAAAGTCACCTTTGGTGATGAAATATAGTTAATGAGAACATTCCTGGATAGTGATTTGGGAACAAGAATTTCTGAGACAAACGTTTTGATAAATGTGAGATTGCTCAATAAAGAACCATATGTTTGATTTGAAGTATAACTTATTTCAACTAAAGGGGCATAGATGGTTAGAAGTAAAATCCGGATGATTGTGGAAGTGGATTTTTGTATGGTCTGACAGGATGAAGGCTCAACATCATTGTCACGACCCGAGCCTACACCCTGGACGTGACCGACACTCGAGAACCATTGTTGGTCCCTAAGCGAACCCTTATCCTGGCTGACTACAAGCGGAAGATTAACTCAAGCATACAAAGCTTAAAAACTGAATAAAAATTCAATAAACTCAACTTTACAAAACTTTAACTAAAAAAGGAAACTCTGAATAATAAAATATATTCAACTCACCCTAAAATAGGCAACTTAAGTCTTTAAAACATTTA